ACAGCAGGGCCGGTGGAGGCCTTCGCTCCCAGCCTGCCCAGTGCCCGCAGTCCCTGGGCGCCCGCACCTTGGCCGCGCTGCGCAGGTGGTCGTAGTACACCTCCTCGATGGCCTGGAAGTAGATCACCCCCTTCAGTTTCGTCTCATGCTTGTCTGCAAAGGAAACAAGGGCCCGCTGAAAAGGCTGGGGGTGAGGGGGGCGTGGAGTGGTGGTGCCCAGGCCCCAGGGCGGGGGCGTAGGCTCACGCACAGCCACAGGACGGTGGGTTAGAACTCCACGGAGACACCACCACCCCCTATCGGAAGTCAGAAGTACACGAAAGTCACACAGCCGCTCTGGTCAAGTCTGGAGAAGGCAGGGGCGAGTCTGAACTGGGAGGCTAGGTGGTTTGGCCGTATCGGCCTGTTTGTCCTTTGAGCCAATAAGCACACTTAGGAAAATGCACCTCACACGTGTGCAGAGTAACACGCTTATACCGCTCCCCGCAGCATGTCTGTACTCACAGAAGACTGCAAACCGCCCAGGTGCCCCCGTGGGAGGGCTGGCAAACCAGCACACGTGTGCGGGCCCCGCAGCTGTGAGGGCTGGTGAACCAGCCCACGTGTGCGGGCCCCGCAGCTGTGAGGGCGGCCAGACGTCTGCTCTGCAGACAGAAGGAGCTCTAACCTGCAGCCGGACATAAACACGGACACAGACACGGACACGGACATGGACGCTCCGGGTGCAGAAGGCCTCTAAGGCGCACTCTCAGGAAAACAAGGGGTGCGCTCCCCTCTGTGCACGTCTGCTTGTTCCCCTTCCCTTAAAGCAACACTTGACAGCCCTACCTGGTGTGGCTCAGCGGACAGAGCATCAGCCCATGGACCGAAGGTCCTGGGTTCGATTCTAGTCAAGGGCATGTACCTCAGTTGTAGGCTCCATCCCAGGCCCTGGTCGGGTGTGTCTCTCTCCCCCCCCCTCCCCCCTTCCACTCTCTCTAAAAATCAATAGGAAAATATCCTCAGGTGAGAATGAACAAAAAACAAGAGGAACACTAGATGGATTCAGAAGAAATCAATTCTCGAGAGTGGGGGCATAATTCCCAATTTAAACCTTTTCTGTGTTTTGATCTTGAACTATATGAACGCATTCACCTATTCGACTCTAATATTACAAAGTGGGAGGAAGTGCTGAGCATCTGGGGCAGGTGGCAGGAAGGAGGAGGCTCGCTTCAGTGGAGGTGGCTGGGGGCCCGCACTGCCCAGGCCCTACAGCGACATCCTGGACAGCGAGCCCGGACGTAAAGGAGAGACCACAGACAAGCACAAAGGCGGCATCCGGGCAATCACTGCTCAGGTGGCGGTGGCTGGCAGTGTGCCCCCTCCCCACCCGTCTCCTTTCCGGCCCAAGTCATCGACCCGGTCCCGCTGCAGCCCCTCCTGGGCCCCGCACACCCTCTGCCCCTGATGCTGAGGCGACTCCAATCCGCTGCCTGGGCTCACAGCTCACAGCGTCTCTGCCGGCTCCGCCCGGGCACCGCTGCCTCCTTGGCTTGGCCAAGGCCACGTACAGGCTGGTGCCGACAGGTCCCTCTGGCCCTGTCTCACACCCTCCCCTGCTCCAACCCCAAGCTCTCCCTGGCCAGGCTGAGCTGCTCATGTTCCTGTAAAGTGCGCTCTGCACACACATTGGGATGGCCTCCAGCCTGTTCCCTTGGCAAACTGCTAAGGAATGTGGGAGACCCACTGCCAGGGTCGCCACTGTGTGCATCTCCTCTGTATGGAGATTAGGCTGAACTGAACCCTCCTTCAAATCCAGAGACCAACTATGTGCCCAGCACACAGTAGGTGCTCATGAGTTAAATGAATGAGTCCCAGGCGCCAGGATCCAGTGCCCAGCCATCAGGCTCTAGCGCTTTGTTCAGTAGCTGCCTCCCTGACAAGCTCCATGAGAGGGGCTGCGGCCACCTTGCGTATCACCAGCACCGAGAACAGTGCCTGGAACTTTTCAGATGCTTAGCAGTTGCCGAGTAAATAAATGGATGAGCCTGGACTGGGTGGCTCAGTGGTTGAGCATCGACCCAGGAACTAAGAGGTGGCCAGTTCGATTCCTGGTCAGGGTACATGACCGGTTGCAGGCTCAATCCCCAGTAGGGGGCGTGCAGGAGGCAGCCAATCAATGATTTTCTCTCATCATTGATGTTTCTCTCCCTCTCCCTTTCTCTCTGAAATCAATAAAAAAAATTGTTTTAATAAGTAAATGAATGAACCAATCCATGGAGGTGACCCAGGGACACTCTGCACATTTGCCAGGGGTGGAGGAGAGGACAGACCCAGTGAGCCTGTGCCCCCGCTGGGCCTTGGCCTCTTCCGGAAGACCAGCTGTCCGGGTGAGCCCAGGCCTGCTTCGGGGAAGCCGTGTGGGAACTCACCCACATAATAGGAGAGGGTGCGCTTGAG